CATCTCTGACGTCTCTGATTGGGATTATCTGTTAATTTCAGGTCAGAAAGTCCTATATTTTTCAGGACCATGAACTTTTCTGTTACATTACTCTTGAGGTTGATGACTGTTACAGGTATAACTTCCTTCAGTGCCTTAAGGGTGTAGCTCACCAAGTTGATTTAACAACACTCTTATAATAGAGGGTAAGGAGTTTGGCCCAGCTATGGCAATCTTGATTCTTACTTGTAAGTGTAACTCAAGAATTCACTCACTCAGTAAGCTAATGTTTATTGAGCATAAGCTGTCGTGGTTGTTTGGGCTGCTGTGACGAAATACCATAAACTGGGTGGCTCATTAGCAACAGCAATGTATTTGTGATTGTCTGGAGGCTGGGAAGTTCAAGGCACTCTCAAATACAGGGTCTGGTGAGAGTCACTGGTTCACAGACGCCATCTTCTCATGTGTCCTCACCTGGCAGAGGAACTGAGAACTTCCTGTGGGCCTCTTTTATAAGGACACGAATCTCATTCATGAGAATTCCTCCCCTGTGGGGAGCAATCCGGACTAGACTAAGTTACTCGAATTAGGACTTATTCTATGCATCTGCTCTCCCACAATATGGCGCTGGGAGAGAAGTAAACAGCTTCCGCACAGCTGCCTCCAGTTCAACCAATTAACTGTAGGACTTGCTCCTGATTGGAGAGCAGCGTACTCAGCCGAGTTGGGATTGGCGGAGGAGGACTATAAAGGAGGAGAGAGACGGCATGCACCAGGAACATCTATGGGGAACATCTAAGGGAACCCGTGCAGCCCCCGAGAGACCCGGCCGGCGGTGTGCCGCTCCCCTGCGGAAGTGGGGAATGTGGCCAGGGGGAACTGCCCTTCCACGGAGGTGGAAGGGATAGTAGCCAACCCGGGAAGAACCAGCAGCAAACCCGGGGAGGGCCGAGCAGACAAAAGAACAGCGCAGGGTCCTGTGTCGTTCCTCCACGAAGAGGGGGAGCGACATAATGGTGCCGTGACTCGGATAGGAAACCTGACTCGGATAGGAAACTTAGGACGGATAGCAAACTTAGGAGGGAAGAAACGGGAAGAAGCAGGAAAATATCGGAGAGAGAGACTAGCAAACAGCCTAGGGAAAAGCCGGACGAAAGAGGTGCCGGAGGAAGCTATTGAAAGCCTAGGCATAGACTCGGATACGGACTACGGGGGGAAGCTGGGAGAAATCTCTAAGGTCAAAAGCGAAAGTGAAAGCTAGAACAAACAGACTCGGACGCGGACTGTGGGGAGAGGCCAGGAGAAATGAGGGAGGAATATTGTTGGAGGAAAGCTTGGGGAAACATACCGGGTAGAGAAAAATGTTAGGGAAATTGAAGCCGCGGGGGGCAGGCCAAGGCGGAAACGAAAGCCACTTTGGGATTCTCAAGTTAGCCCGGGAATAGGGGGCGAAAAGTTGAAACCAGAAGCTGAGACGCAAGCCAGATTGGGATCCGTCTGATTAGCCCGGGGAGCAAAGGGCGGGGAAGCAAATCGTGGGGCGGAGGCGTTCCCTGGGTTGAATTCCCCCAGGCTAACCCGGGGGAACTTTAGATTGATCCTAGTGGCGGAGGCCGCAAGCTACGCTGTGTTACTTCCCGGAAGCCGCCGCGTGCAGAGAGAGCACGGGGCGTGAATAGATAGGGAACGCTGGCGTAGGCCGTGGTTCAGACGCGAAAGGGTTAAGCGTGGAGACCGCGGAGCGCGCAAAGCCGAGCCGCGCAAAGCCGGGAAGCTGCGCAGATGAGAGAGGCGCGCGGGCTGAAGCGGCGCAGAGCCGGGAACCTGCCGGCGGGGCGAGGTGCCGGAAAGCCGCAGGGATAAGAGAAACAGAAGTTTGGAAGTGAAGTAAAAGAGAAATGGGAATGCTGGAAGATAGAAGTGAAATGGGAGAGGTAGGAATGCCCGGAGATAGAGAAATAGAGAAAAATAAGGCCTCCCCTCAACATGCCAATTAGAAGGCTTGGATTCGGTCTGCCTAATCAAGTGAGGCGATGAGCACCTGCGGGCAGCTAGCAGCTTATGCGCCACAGGTCACCGAAGACAGGCACGAATTAACATCAGTAAGGCTTCCCCACAATACAACAATATTAAGCTTGGATTCGGTCTGCCTGATTTAAGGCGGTAAGCGCCAGCAAAGCTCGACCAGAGTATGAGCTGCAGGTCACCGAAGATAGGCACGAACCAACACTAATAAGTCTCCCCCACAATACGGCAATGAGAAGGCTTGGATTCGGTTTGCCTGATAGGTTTTGTAAACACCTGCAGGCAGTTCTAGCAGAGTAGAGCATGCGCTGCAGGGCACCGAACACAGGCACGCATCAGCGCCTAAAAACCTCCTCACAATGGCGAAGAGAGGACCCGGATTCGGTTTTCCTGATTGATAGGACTTGTAAGAGCCTGTGGCAACGCTAGCAAGTAGAGCAGAGTGTGTGCCGTGGGACACCGAAGACAGGCGCGTATCAACGCCAAAAAATAAAAAGAAAGGGGGATCTGTGGGGAGCAATCCGGACTAGACTAAGTTACTCGAATTAGGACTTATTCTATGCATCTGCTCTCCCACAATATGGCGCTGGGAGAGAAGTAAACAGCTTCCGCACAGCTGCCTCCAGTTCAACCAATTAACTGTAGGACTTGCTCCTGATTGGAGAGCAGCGTACTCAGCCGAGTTGGGATTGGCGGAGGAGGACTATAAAGGAGGAGAGAGACGGCATGCACCAGGAACATCTATGGGGAACATCTAAGGGAACCCGTGCAGCCCCCGAGAGACCCGGCCGGCGGTGTGCCGCTCCCCTGCGGAAGTGGGGAATGTGGCCAGGGGGAACTGCCCTTCCACGGAGGTGGAAGGGATAGTAGCCAACCCGGGAAGAACCAGCAGCAAACCCGGGGAGGGCCGAGCAGACAAAAGAACAGCGCAGGGTCCTGTGTCGTTCCTCCACGAAGAGGGGGAGCGACACTCCCCCAACCCCCAGTCACCCCCTAAAGTCCCCATCTCCCCATGTCATCACCTTGAGGCTTAATACGTCAACACGTGACTTTGAGGGGAACACATTCAGCCCATAGCACGTGTTGTAGGCCAGGTGCTGTTTGGAGAACTGTGGGTATACGCAAGATTCCTTCAGAGAGCTTGCACAACCTGACTGTAGAATCACCACTTGAACGGAACATGCAGCTTGAAGGATGCACGCTGACTCTCTCTCTGTCGTTAAGCTGCTTTCGCTCTTTCCCCACTATATTCACTCCTATCCAGGGCTCCAATTCTACCAGGGCTGTTGCAGGCATATGCAGTGCCTTGATTCATATCAGAAAATGTCACACCTTCTAGGCAGATTCAACAGCAAAGTTCTCGTTTATGGTCTTCTTAACTATTTCTCTTGGCTGATCAGGCACGTGAGAATGTTACAGTCAATCAGTAACTAGAATGCTTAAGTAAAGAAAAGGAGGCCAGCACCGCAGCTCACTAGGCTAATCATCCACCTATGGCGCTGGCACAGGGGGTTCTAGTCCCGGTCGGGGCGCCGGATTCCGTCCCCGTTGCCTCTCTTCCAGGCCAGCTCTCTGCTGTGGCCAGGGAGTGCAGTGGAGGATGGCCCAAGTGCTTGGGCCCTGCACCCCATGGGAGACCAGGAGAAGCACCTGGCTCCTGCCTTCAGATCAGCGGCCATTGGAGGGTGAACCAACGGCAAAGGAAGACCTTTCTCTCTGTCTCTCTCTCTCTCTCACTGTCCACTCTGCCTGTCAAAAAAAAAAAGAACTATTTCAATTCTCCCTATTACCTCTCTATGCCCCCAAAGCCCAAAGTAGACATGATGGGCCAAATACTGCGGAAGAGTTCCACTTTTTTTTTTTTTTTTTTTTTTTTTTTGAGTTCCACATTCTTATCCCTGGAGCCTGCTTTGCACAACAGAGATTAGTGTGTGGTTAGTTCAGGTTTTTGAGACGTGAAGATTATCCTTGTTTGGGAGGTGGTCTCCGGGTAATGACAGAGGTCCTTCCAAGAGGAAAGTAGGAGAATAGAGTGAAAGAAGCAGCTGAAGACCTTATGCCGCTGGCTTTGAAGATGAAGGAACGAGGGAGGAACACAGGTGGCCACTGCCAACTGGGAGATAAAAAGAGGAATCTTCCCGTCAAGCCGCTAGAGGGAGCACCACCTGCCAACACCTGGAATTGGGGCCCGGGAGACCCGATTTCGGTTTTTGACCTCCACAGTAAGTAGGGACACAGGTTGTTGTCCGCCGCCAAGTGTGTGAGACTCTTACAGCGACTGTAGAAAACTGATGGGGCCGTGGCTGTAGTACTGGCTGCCGCAGGCGCTTTCGGAACTCAGCTAACGAAGCCGAAAGGCGGTAGCAGCGAGGGCAGGCTGCAGCCTCGTATGGCAAGGGTTGACCGCCGCACTAGGAAAACCCAGTAGCAGCTACGGTCCAACAATTAAGAATCATAAATAGGACCCAAATCCGAGCGTCAGGAGTCAGGCAGAGGCCGGGTTTGGAAGAACAGAGATAAGAAGCAGGAAGAAAGGGCAGAGGGTGACTTCACAGGAAGTTATCAAAGTCGCCAAGGTCACATTTAGTTGGCCGTGGGCACCAAATGCTTAAGGAAGTTCTATCTGACTTCACTGACCCCCTAAAATAATGGGGTATCTCAGTGACTGAGGAGCTGTACCAGCGAGCGTATGCATTTATTTCATTCGTCCAATAACCCCGTGAGTTGAGTGTTAAAAACCTTGCTTTACTAATGCAGAAACCATTCAGGGAGGCCCAAGGTCACGGAAAACACGTGGACATGAAGGTGGGCTCAGCCCTGTCTCTCTAACTCAGAAGCCCTGCTCTTTCTCCCACCTTCCTTTCACTGACTGAATGATTGTATACACAGCTGAAGCAGGGAAACACAGTGACATCTTTTGAAGCGCTCACTCCATCAGTGAGAACTTGAAAATGAAGTTAAATATTAAACAGCCAAGCAAGGTAGGCTGTCTGCTCCGAGAATGTAGAGGCCAAACCTGGTGCAGTCTGCCTGCCGCGTGCCCCATTATTTATCCCTGTGAAACACTGCGGAATGATTTGAAAGGGAAGAGGGGACAGAAACTCTCTCCTCCTTCAAGTTAGCGCTATAATCTAGGGATCGAAATACTGGTTTAATGGTGAAGGTAAGTGCTTTTCTTCTTCTCGGGCAGGATGCTAATTATTGACCTATCAGCCACCCACTGGATGGAGGGAATGCCTGTTAAGGGGAGTTGGAGGGAAAACGTTAACAGCAGTCCAGGGAGCTCCACCTGGGCTTGGTCTCTGCTTACAACACCAAGGAGAGATTTTTCTCAAAATGGAACTGATTCCATCCAGATGCTGCAGTGAGGCCCGGAGGGACACTAATGGACACTGCGGACGATGGTCATTTTTCAAGGACACCGTGAGTATTCACTGTGATGCCTCGATGATTCGGACTGGCTTTGCCGAGGCTCCAAACCAACGCGATAGGGCTCTGGCGGTGTGACTAGAGAGTGTTTGCAGCTTGCTGTGCTTACAATTGCTTCTCATGAAAGGGAGGCCATGACTGAAGGCCAGAGAATTTGTATGCTTGGAAGGAACACCTGGTTTTTGTCCTTGGTGTCTAGCTAGAAACAGGTGCCCAGAGATTATGAGTAACACCTATTAGTGCTATGAGGGGTAACTGGAGGAGAAAGGTTCAGCAAAGGTGCATCTCCCAGTCTATTCCAAACACAGCTGGGCTCACCTTGGCTCGGAAGACACAGCCTGGCTGGGAGGGGTAGGCCCTCCCGCACAGCTCCTGGCCAGCTGGGTACCCCCATGGGCAGGGCTCCCACAGCACCTGGGCGCTGCTGAAATCCTATTTCCTAGAATTGCCTACTGTCTGTGCTCAATGCACTTTTTTTTTCATGATTAAATTTGTAAGTGAATTGACAGCATGAAACAAATGTGTGCTGGGATAACCTATTTAACTTAATACCACTAATCCCTAAAAAAGGTAAGGAGGTGATGATACAGACCCCAGTTTTACTAACAATTTTAGAGGAAGAATTTCTTCTTCCCTTGTTTTCTCACATTTGTATCAAGAAGCGTCTTCTCCCTGCCCTTCTTGTGGATTCCAGGCTAGAAGAACCCACTTTTAAATAGAAAAGCTTAAAACTAATTTAACAGCGATCAAAGGCAATGTTATAGCAATATATTCTACTTGCTGAAATCTGCTTTTGCACATGGAGCTGAGAGGGCTGGGGCCCCAACATTGTGACTATTTATTACTACTGCTGTTGTTAATATCAGTACTATTTTACATGACAGCTCTCGCATTTTGTTTTTACTCCAAGCAGCCCTGTGTAAAACAATTAACGCTCCCGGAGTTTGTGAAACTTGCTCTGGTTTACGTAGGCTGGGAACGGCAGAGCAGAAATCAGTTCCTGAATACCCTCTGAACAGCAGGTTCATGCTCCTTGAACTATGTGTAACATTTACTCTGAGTAAACTAGGAGACTGGGCTAACAGAGATGATGCAAGATTTTAGGGGCTGGACTTTAGGGGATATCTCAGGGCATAAGAAGATCATTATAACAAAATAATGAGTTCTAGGCTAAGAAGAATAGGGAAAGAAATCTACTCTTTAGTTTATGCATAAATCATAATGTCTATGTTATTAATTTTGTCCCAGATACAAACTATACTTTATTATAAAATTATTTTTCAAATATAACATTTTCCTTTAGCTTAATCTCAACTCAGTTTTTCTCTGTCTTCTTACAACTTCGATGCTAAGATTCATTGTTTTTCTAGACGTGTCACTAGATAGTTATATGGTCTTAATTTTTTACAATTAAGCTAAGGATTTTTTTTATGATTTATTTATTTGAAAGGCAGAGTTACAGACAGAAGGAGAGACAGAGAGAGGTCTTCCATCCACTGGTTCATTCCCCAAATGGCCGCAATGGCTGGGGCTGGGCCAGTCTGAAGCCAGGAGCCAGGAGCTTCTTCTGCGTCTTCAATGAAGGTGCAGGGTCCTAAGCACTTGGGCCATCTTCTCCTGCCTTCCCAGGCTCATTAGCTGAGAGCTGGATTGGAAGTGGAGTAGCGGGGACTCAAACTGGCAGCTACAGGGGATGCCGGCGCCATAAGCAGAGGCTGAATCTGCTACTCCGCAGCACCAGCCTCTAGGCTAAGAATTAACTGGCCATCTCTAAGTGCCTATTAATGACATCATTGCTCAGACCTCAGACTTTCATATGCTTTTGTGACTATTTTAGAAAGACAGTTTCCACTACCATGTCACAGAAATACCCCAGTTTAGAATAATTTGGAGTGTTAGACTGAGTTCTGTATTTCTCTCATACAAAGGATACAGGGAAACTAACAAGTGAAATTAGCTTTTGAAACAAAGGTCAAGGTAGTATTTGAAATCATCAAAGCTAAGTTGGGCTTTTCCTCTCTGTACCTCAGACAGCACTGGAGAGTGGAGAGGATAACTGGAGACACAGGTTTGTGATAGAATTCCACTAAGATAGAGAGCAAGAGAAAGCAGCTGTTTCTGTTTAATGTCCAAAGCTTGAAGCTGTTCTCATTAATCGTTTCCTTCTGGAATAATGATTACAGCTTGATTTAAAATGGTATAAATTCAGATGCAGAATAACCCCAGATGAGGCTAAGCTTGTCTTAAAATGCTATGACAATGAAGGGAAGCAGTGTTTGCAGGTGGAAAAAGCAGTGCAATGGAAGCTTGGCGACCTGGTGCTGGCCCCGAGTGCTGGGAGGCCTGGGGCAGCTGTCCATGACCCCTGCACCCCATTCTCTCATCAGTAAAATGAACAGCTGGGCCAGAGGGCCTCCGAGCCCCTCTCTGCTCTAGAGATCAGTGTTTTGAAGATTCACTGGAGAGGTGGAGTATGAATCCTTGCAGCTGCATGTACAGTTAAAAAGGTGTCCGGCAAATGATGGATCTTACATAACAAGGACAATCAAATAGAAAATGGTCCAAACTCTGAGGCTGGACCCAGGTGCTTCCAGCTAGGGTCTAAGTGCAGAGCACCGAGTCCAGTGCTGTCCAGATGTTAACCGGCCCTGAAGCAGGGCTTCCACGGCAGAGTGACAGCTGACATCTGCCCTGGTTCTGACGCCTTCCTACAGCAATTGGGCCTCCATTTAGGCCCATTGCATTCAAAAGAGAAAATTGCAAAACTTAGATGAGAAGACCTTATTCTCAGAATTCTAGAGCAAACAGGGCAATTCTGGGCAAACAGAAAACCATCCTAGCCACCCTGATGAAGCCTAATGATTTCTCTTCTAAATATGCTCTGTGTCTTCCAGGTATGGCAATGATAAAGAATAAAATGACTGCCCTGTCCATAACCCAGACATTGCCTCTGCTGGCGCTGTGTGAATCTGCTTCTCCTGTGTTTGTGGATGTGTGCAATACATCTTGCTTTGCACTTGAGTGCAAGCATTTCTCTAAAGTGATTCGGTATCTTTGAAAACACTATTTTAATACAGTCCATCAAACTCATTTTGCCAAACCCTTATTGTTAGGTTCATTTGTCTTCAGCATTGTCATAACTAAAACTACAAAGTATATTCTGGGACAAATCTCTTTGTATTTTCCTTATGATCCTTATCCTAAGGTCATGGATTATGAATATATTTTTTAAAGATTAGTTATGTACTTGAGAGGTAGAGTTACAGACAGAGAGAGGGAGAGGCAGAATGAAAGGTCTTCCATCCACTGATTCACTCCACCAAATGGCCACAACAGCTGGAGCTAGGTCAATCTGAAGCCAAGAGCCAGGAGCTTCTTCTGTGTCTTCCATGCAGTGCAGGGGCCCAAGCACTTGAGCCATCTTCCACTGCTTTCCCAGGCACATTAGCAGGGAGCTGGATTGGAAGTGGAGCAGCCAGGACTTGAACGGGTGCCCATATGGGATGCCAGCACTGCAGGCCATGGACTAACCCTCTGCACCACAGCACTGGCCACAGTTTTAATTCTTAAAGCATCACTCAGAAAGGAGCCATGTCAATATTGAACAGGTAAGGAAACAGGTAGTTAGGGAATTTAAGTGACTAGCTGTAAGTCACAGAGCTGTGTGACTCATGGCCAGATTTCCTTATACAACCCTAGTTGTCAGGGCCAACACTGTGGCATGGTGGGCTAAGCCTCCGCCTGAGGCACCAGCATCCTATATGGCTCCTCTTCCAAACCAGCTTCCAGCTTGTGGCCTGGGAAAGCAGTGGAAGATGGCTCAAGTGCTTGGGCCCCTGCACCTGCATGGGAGACCCAGATGAAGCTCCTGGCTCCTGGCTTCAGATCGGCTCAGCTCCAGCCATTGCGGCCATTTGGGGAGTGAACCAACAGATGGAAGACCTTTCTCTCTGTTTCTGCTTCTTTCTGTCTGTAACTGTACCCCTCAAATAAGTAAATGAAATCTTAAGAAAAAAGTGATCTAGTTTCAGAAATTGTAGCAGGCATGCGTGGTAAAATGTGAATCATTTGGCTGCGGTGGGTCAAAGCTTTACCAGTGCCAAGAGGAGGCACGATTAGCAGGAGCTAACTGTGTGGCCTGTTGTGCATTTTGCTTTTCCCGTAGATAAAAGCCTGCCGTGGTAAGACAGATTCAGGGAAGAGGGGAACTCCACCGCAAAGTGTGGTCCCATTTCCCGGAGCAGCTAAATGGACGAGAAGTCTCCCAGCAGGAAAGGTAAACCACCACGCTTGTTTGCAGGTTCCTTACCAAACAGCAGGTGCTCATTTCTGGTGTTCCTCACACATCCCTGCTCTCTTCTGCTCCCTGTTCCACCGTGCCACTCGCTGTCCTCCGGAGCCTGATGTCAACTCGTATTCCAGTCCCAAACTGTGAGTGCTTGCATTTTCCTTAGGATGCCCCCATCAAGTTGTCTATCAGAACTGAAGCGAAAGAATCACTAAATCCTGGAGTCTATGGACAGGAATGAGTCTTGGAAGTAATTTTAAGCAAATCCCCAACCTACACACAAATCCCTGTTCTAATGTCCTTGCCAAGGGACTGGCTGCTTTTCCTGGACTTGGAGACCTACAGTAATAGGGAAACAATTCTGCAGACCACTAGTCCTACCCCTCAACTTATTTGGCCATTAAAAATTTCTTCCACTGGGGTTGACATTGTGGCCGAGCAGGTTAAGCTGCCACCTGCCATGCCAACAGGAGCTCCACTGCTTCACTTCTGGTCCAGCTCCCTGCTAATGTGCCTGGGAATGCAGCAGAAGATAGCCCAAGCACTTGGGCCCCTGCCACCTGTGTGGGAGATCTAAATGGAGTTTTAGACTCCTGGCTTCATCCTGGCTTGGTCCAGTCCATTTCCACCATACAGGGAGTGAACCAGTGAATGGAAGATCTCTCTGTCTCTCCCTTTATCTCTGACACTCTGCCTTTCAAAAAATAGAATAAATCTTAACAAATATCTCCTATTAATTTTTTATCCATTTGTTTGCATTTTCTCCCTTTATTTTCCTTTAATTTCTGTTCTCCAAATAGGCATAAAAATCTTAATCTGTAATTCACATGGGAATCCTTTCAATATTTCAGTTTTTTTTAAAGAGTTACCTTTGCAACATATTGAATATTCCTCCAGCACTATTTCATCTACATATTTAGTAAAGGTTGTTCTACATATCAGTTTTTTAAAAGACTTATTTATTTATTTGCAAGACAGTGTTATAGAGAGAAGAGAGAGAATTTTTCCATCTTCCAGTTCACTCCCCAAATGGCCACCCAGTCAGGGCTAGGTTAGGCCAAAACCAACAGCCAGAAGCTTTATTTGTCTTGGGCCTTCCTCCATTGCTTTCCCAGGTCCATTAGCAGGAAGCTAGATCAGAAATGGAGCAGCTGGGTCTCAAACAGGATGTAGGCATCCCTGGCAGTGGCTTAACTTACTATGCCACAATAGCAGCCCATTTTTGTTTTGTTTTGTTTTGTTTTGTTTGTTTTGTTTTGTTTTGTTTTGTTTTTAAGTGGAACATATGTGAAGGCAGGGGCTAGTGGCACCCAGCAAAATATCCCAATGGACATTACTTTAGGGTGTTCATGGAAGTGGTCACTTCCAGTCAGATGGTTTAAAACAGAACACTGGGTGTGCAGCTCACTTGGTCCAGAGGTGCACTCTGTGTGTAGATGTTCCCACTTTGTGGTAGGTGAATGAGAATAACAGAAGGGCTGCAGCACCGCCTTGCAGCCCAGAGGTGGACTTTGTGACGGCTTCTGTCACCGTCTTCCTGAGCCCTTTCTTTTTGAGCAACATGACATGAGGCCCTTGCATTTGGGTTTTTCCTCTATTTGCTATCTGCTTCCCACACCTCTGAGAGAAGTCCATGTCTGCTTTTCTCAACTGTGAGGTTGAAGATTGTCTTGAAGCTAACCAAGGACCTTTGCAAAGGAAGGGTTGGAGTCCTCTTGTCTCGGGCGAGAGACAGACAGTGAGACGGCCTGGTGTTAGGTGAAGTGGGGGGAGAAGTGGAGGAAGAGGGTCTCCTCGAGGCTGCTCGTCACACACGTCTGTGTTGTCCAGGTCCAGACTTCTGTTCCTTACGCTACGGGCTGGCTCTCATCATGCACTTCTCCAACTTCACCATGATAACCCAGCGAGTGAGTCTGAGCATCGCGATCATCGCCATGGTGAACAGCACCCAGCGGGCCAGTCCGTCCAATGCTTCCTTCGAAGACCCTCTTGCTGACACCCTCAGCAACCCCAGCAAGCCCATCAAGGAATTGAATACAAGGGTGAGTGTGATGGAGCATAAGATTCTTTGTTGAAAGGGAAAAAAAAAAAAAACAATTTGAAAGAAAGTCTTGGATCTTTACTCTGTAGAGTATAGACTTATGAGCTTTCAATGAAAAGGTAAAAAGAACTGGAATTATCTTGCTCTGAAACACCATCTACCTCTACAATAATAGTCGTCTTTCATTGAGATTTTAGGATTATAAGGTGGGTAAAATATGAAAATTCTAAAATGGAACACTGAGAAGTTAGTTACTGTCCACTAGAAAACAAATTATGTCTAGGCCCATCCTTCTGGATTACCCAGTTCTATCCAATTTTCTGCACCGTTCCTTGTTTTTGACTTACTTACAACTCTGTAAATTCTATATAATGTGTAGAAGTACAAATTATTCTTATAGATTGCTTTGCAAATTACTTCTTTCTTATGGAAAATCAACTGAACCGCTCATCCACTCACCACCTGTACACCCCCTCGTAGAATAAGCCACTTTGCTATTGGTTTAAAATCTGTTTCAGCTCTGTATGTGCGATTCTTCAAATTCTCCTTTGGTGCTGTAGCATCTTACTGAATCCCTCACTAAACAAAGAGTTGAATAAAATCTTTGTCACACATTCACTTTATATTTGTATGAAAATTATGATCATACCCTAATTTAAAAATTATCCCTTAAACTATCTGTCACAACTATATTTTTTACAGACTTATTTATTTACTTGAAAGTAGAGTTACAGAGAGAGTTCAAAAGGAGAGACAGAGAGAGAGAGGTCTTCCATCTACTGCTTCACTCCCCAAATGGCTGCAAGAACTCGGGCTGGGCCAGGCAGAAGCCAGGAGCCAGGAACCAAGAGCCAGGAGCCAAGAGCTTCATCCTGGTCTCCCACATGGGCGCAGGGACCCAAGCACTTGGGCCGTCCTCTGCTGCTTCCCCAGGCACATTAACAGGAGAGTGGATTGGAAGTGGAGTAGTGGGGACTTAAACCAGCTCCCAGTTGTGATGCCAGCTCTGCAGACCATGATTTAACCTGTCTCGCCACAGTGCCAGCCCCATTACTCTACACTTCTAACATCATCTTATTTTATTACATTAGGCCCAGCTTCTCTATAATGCCCTCCTGACCACCAATCATCCTTCTGTCATCACTTCTACACTTTGACATGCCTGTGCTCAGGAACTCTGGACACATGCTAGTTACTAAATATGCTGTGTCTGCACCCCACCTCCCAGTCGCAGACTCGGGGCCTACCTCAGTACCCTCCTACCTGCCATCATCAGTGATGCAAGCAAAGCTTTTTTCTAAGCAGGCCAGGGTCCCTGCTAGTTTCTGGTTATTTCATATCATTCTAAATGCTGTAAGCGCACTCTGATTTTTTCAGTGAGAATGAAGTTTCTTTTTTCTTATTTTACTTTTTAGAAAGATTTGTTCTTATTTGAAAGACAAATTTACATAACAAGAAGGAGAGACAGAGAGAGAGAGAGACAGAGAGAGAGAGAGATTCTTCCATTCCATCTGCTGGTTCACTCCTCAATGGCCACAGTAGCTGGGACTGGGCCAACTGGAGGCCAGGAGTCTGGAACTCCATCCAGGTCTCCCACATGGGTAGCAGGAACCCAAGAACTTGGGCCATCTTTCAAAGTTTTCCCAGGTCTATTAGCAGGGAGCAAAATCAGAAGTGGAGCAGCCAGTACTTGGATGGGAGCTCATATGGGATTCCCCTTGTCCCAGCCAGTGGTTTAACCTGCTGTGTCACAAAATCAGACCCTTTTCTCTTCATGTAAATCATAGTCATTTTTCAAAGGATAGTTGAGTGCTGCTTCCTTCCTGGGACCTTCCCAAATTATACTTATATTTTCTTGAAGTCCCTGTTTCACTTATATATTCATCCTCAAATCATCAGTCATATATGTTGTATTTTTATAGCTACTATAAATGATAAAATATCTCTTATTTTATATTCTTTTGCTGTCTACTTATAGCATGATGCCATATAGCTAGAAAACCACTAAAAATTACTTATTAAGTTGCATCAGAAGAAAAATGAGATATTACTCTTTTGTAAGGGCAGACCATAATCCCCAAAATTAATTTTGCTTCTTAATTAGGGACTGATTTTGGTAAGGATTGAGTACGGCTGTGTTTTCCTTTTTCTTTAAACCATGAGTCGCTGTGTCTCCCCACGTTTACAAACAGTTCTACAGGAAGTCTTACACAGATGAAGCAGCCCTCAAGGCTCTTTCCACGTCTTCCTGTCATCCACCTATGAAATCATCTTCTTTATCTACTTTCTTTTTTTTTTTATCTTTTATTTAATGAATATAAATTTCCAAAGTACGACTCATGTGTTACAATGGCTTCCCCCCCCATACCGTCCCTCCCACCCACAACCCCCCCCTTCCCACTCCCTCTCCCCCTCCATTCACATCAAGATTCATTTTCGATTATCTTAATATACAGAAGATCAGCCTAGCATACCTTAAGTAAGTATTTCAACAGTTTGCTCCCACACAGAAACATAAAGTGAAAAATAATAGATGATTTTTTTTAAATGATGATGAAATCAGATCAGACCTATTGTCATGTTTAATCCCAGTAAAATTATCAATTCTTTATCTACTTTCATTTCCTTTGGTTTACTCTCTTAAGAGAAGCACACCAGGCATATAATTACATGGGATTTTTCTTTTATCTTTTTTTCTTCTTTTTTAATAGAACAGATTGGGATTTTTTTTTAATAAAAGGACGTCTTAGTAAAGAGTTTTTCTTTTGCATCCTGCCTTCCTCCCCTCCACCCAGGCCTCCGTATACCAATGGAGCCCAGAGACTCAGGGTATCATCTTTAGCTCCATCAACTATGGGATAATACTGACCCTGATCCCAAGTGGATACTTAGCAGGAATATTTGGAGCAAAGCAGATGCTTGGTGCTGGCTTGCTGATCTCATCCCTCCTCACCCTCTTTACACCACTGGCTGCTGACTTCGGAGTGATTTTGGTCATCATCATTCGGACGTTCCAGGGCATGGCCCAGGTATCCAGATACTTACTCACTTTCAGTGGTAAACAGAGTCCTGGGTCCTGTGAAGACTCAAAAGTCATGATTTTCTTTTCAGGGAATGGCATGGACAGGTCAGTTTACAATTTGGGCAAAATGGGCACCTCCACTGGAAAGAAGCAAACTCACCAGCATTGCCGGGTCAGGTAAGTGCGCACACAGGGGCCCCGGCTATGTGACCTGGCCCATCCTACACGCCCGTCCTTCCATGAATCAGGCAAGCTGCTGGGAACAGGAGAAAGAGAGAGAGAGAGGAAAACGTATTAATGAGAAATCCAACAGTTCCATAACAAATGAGAAGGATTCATCGGTGCTCTAAGAATCCTGAGGACCCACAGCAGGAAACACCTTGTAGGAAAAAGTTTGAAGCTCCCAGAATTGCACGCCTGGAGAAAGAGTGAGTGAACTCTATAGACACCATTTTAGCTAAGATGTTGAAGTTATAAACTGAGGCTACCAGGACTTGGAGTAGTAAGGAGAGAAATGAGGCTAGAAAGTAAAGCTGACAGTCTTCATAATTATGAACTAATTAAGCATCACATAAGCACTGAACTCTCACTTTATACACAGGAGTCAAGGAATGTAGAGATTAAGAAAATTGCCCAAATGTAAACAGTCAGCATGTGGTAGGGCTGAGATTTAAGCCCATGTAGTCTGGACCCAGAACAATGCTTAATTATCACATTAGCCTGTCTCTCCGTGGTGTGTGGGGCTTCAAAGGCATTTATAGCTTTATCACTGCTATTTCCTCTAGCCAGTTGAGAATTTGAGGATACTTCAAACGTTTTGTGAAAAGTGGAACTAAAAGGTAAGTTTAGTACTGGGCGTTTGGCCTAGTGGTTAAGACACTTGCATCCCATATTGGAGTGTCTGAGTTCAAGTTCCAGCTTCCTGCTAATGTATTTCCTGAAGGGAAGCAAGTGATGGCTTTAGTGGTTGGGCTTCTGCTACCCAGCAGGGAGACCTGCATTGAGTTCCCATTTCCTGGCTTTGACCTGGCCTTACCCCAGATGTTGTGAGTATCTGGGTAGTAACCCAGTGGGTAGGAACTCTCTCTCTCTCTGTTTCTCAAACAAATACATGCTTAAATACTTTTTTTTTTAAAGATAAGTTTATTTTGGTGATCCATGCATGCTTTTTTTCATAATACAAATGTTCTATCAACGTTTTGAAGAGTCCATACATGCATCAAGTTTAAATTTTTTGTGATAAAATAAACTTGTCGTTCAAGTCCATATTCTGTGAACTTCTGGAGAACCTTGATATGGACTGACAGATGCACTTGAAGAACAGGAATGAGGCTCTGTTGATCTTCAGACTCCCAGCTCCAGCACCCGGCTTCATCCCCCGGACTTCGATCTGACAGCAGCCCTCCTGCCGTCTGCCATCACCATTGTCTCCACCCGCTCTACTTCCAAATACTTTTAGCTGGTTTCTCTCCTCCAGCTTGGTTTCCCCCAACCTTCTCTTTGTATCAATGCCCCACTGTCTTCCTAAAGTAAAGATGGGGCATTTCTGCTCACCGGTGTGAGAATCTTTAGGATGTCCTTTGTGATTACGGAGGAATAGTAACCTTCAGGGCAGAAAGATGCTCACCATCTGGTCCTGACTAGCTCCCTGCTCGACTTCCATCTGCAAGCAAGACTCCAGGCACTGGGTGCTGCCCACACACATCTGCACTTGTTGCCCCTTGTCTGGGCTCCCACTAGCTCATGCTCCTGGACAGCTCTCTGCCTCTGCTTATCTTGCCAAAATTCTTTCTGCTTAGCTCATCTCAGAAATTTCTAAACCCTACAGGCATTATTAACTTATCCATATTTACAATGCCATTGCACATTGCAGTTTTGTTATTGTATTTATATTCTACATCACTTTTTTTAAGTTACAGATTGTGAACATTTAGTGGGTCATACAGACAGTGGAGTGGGTCAAGCCAGGGTTTAAAAAAGAAAGAGTAAAAATGAATACACTACAATAGAAAATGCCAGAATGCCTTGTCATGAAACTTTTAATTTAAATATTTATTTGAAAGGCAGTGCAATAGCAAGAGAGGGAAAGAGAAGGGGGAAGTGGTTAGAGAGGAGAGAGAGAGAGAGAGAGAAAGAATATCTTCCATGCACTGGTTCACTTCCAAAATGATTCCAAAAGCTAGATCTGGGCCAAGCCAAAACCAGGAGCCAGGAACTCCATCTTGATCTCCCACATGTGTGGCAAGGGCAGAAGTACTTGGGTCATCTGCTGCTGCCTTCCTGGAGGCATTAGTAGGAAGCTGGATGGGAAGAGGAGCAGCAGGGACTCAAACTGGCACTTCAATATGGGTCAGCTTTGCAAGAGGCAGCTTAATCTACAATACAAACTCCAAAACTTTTGTTTGAGGGGTGTGTGTATGTGTGTGTCTATGTGTGTGGTTGAGTGTATGAGTGTTTGGGCATATTTGCTTGTGCGTTGTGTTGCCATGTGAGGAAATACATATACACATATAATTACATAATATACATATAAATATATATATTTTTAAATGTAGACTCCAAAATCTGCATGTGTTACACTTGTGATTGTGAAGTTGGTTCACATTTTTTCCTCTCCAGGGAACCAATGGCAAGATCTGTCTCAAGAATTTTCTGTTAGCCTTTCCTTTTCCACTCCAACTCCATGTTGCATCATGCCAGAAGGTAGCTGTGTTCCTAAGGCCGTGTGGGGGAGCTGTACCTGCAGAGTTTCCATGATGAACTACGGGATTTGGTCACTTTGGTGTAGAAGAGCAGTTGAAACCAGGGCTGTGTCACTTTATTTATCCATTGTAATTACTTCTCATGACTTCACTGGAGGAGGTTTGGGAGCAGGAAGACATTTTGTCATCATCTGGGAACTAATAGTCTGCCCTCACGCTGTGGGGACAATGTTCAGTCTTGTTTTTTCACGATTTTCACAAGTGTTTTACTCCTTCTCTCTTCAGGGGCAGCGTTTGGGTCCTTCTTCATCCTCTGTGTGGGGGGACTGATCTCACAGGCCTTGGGCTGGCCTTTTATTTTCTACATCTTTGGTGAGTCACTTCCTCTTAAACTAGAACATCTTCACTTCCCGGGCATCTGTGCTGACACTTACATCACCCACATTCAGCCCGCCTGAGAGAACGTGTCCTCTGTCAAGTGGAAGATGACAGGGAATAAGGGAATATTGAGGATTAGGTTCATTTTTTTTTTTTTTGACAGGCAGAGTGGACAGTGAGAGAGAGACAGAGAGAAAGGTCTTTCTTTCCCGTTGGTTCACCCCCCAATGGCCGCTGCGGCCGGTGCACTGTGCTGATCCGAAGCCAGGAGCCAGGTGCTTCCTCCTGGTCTCCCATGGGGTGCAGGGCCCAAGCACTTGGGCCATCCTCCACTGCACTCCCAGGCCATAGCAGAGAGCTGGCCTGGAAGAGGAGCAACCAGGACAGAATCTGGCGCCCCGACCGGGACTAGAACCTGGGGTGCCGGCGCCGCAGGTGGAGGATTAGCCTAGTGAGCCGCAGCGCTGGCCAGGTTCTTTCTTTTTTTTTTTTAAAGATTTATTTATTTATTTGAAAGTCAGAGCTACACAAAGAAGGAGATGCAGAGAGAAAGGGGGGTGGGGTGGGGTGGGGAGAGACATCTTCCATCCGCTGGTTCACTTCCCAATTGGTTGCAGTGGCTAGGAGCCAGGAGCTTCCCAGGGTCTCCCACACAGGTGCAAGGGCCCAAGGGCTTGGGCCATCTTCTACTGCCATCACAGGCCACAGCAGAGAGCTGGATCAGAAGTGGAGCGGCCGGGTCTCCAACTGGCACCCATATGGGATGCCGGCACTGCAGGCAGTGACCTCACCCACCTTGCCACAGTACTGGTTCCTAGGTTCATTCTTAATCTAGTCCAACATCCTGAGCCAACATCCTGCTGGTGGCCCAGGAAGCCCATGCACCAGCCAGATGGCTTGTCTGCTCAGGGAGCACCAACTTCTGGGAAACCAGTGGTGAATCCTTACTCTCCTGCCCCCAGCAGCCCCAGCAGAGTCTCTGCCATCACCGCTGATATGCCCAGGCTGGTCACTCAGTGCAGTTAAGATGTGACATTGGCTGAATACAGCTTCAGTGTGTCTTCGTATCTTGTGATAATTATTGTTTCTGTCAAAGATGCCCTTAACATATTCTCCACCAGATGATTCTTACAAATCAACCCACAGGTCCCCTTCCCCATGAAATCTTCTTGGACTTACCCCATCAGATCCAGCCGATCTCCTATTCATGACCCTTACTGATATCCTCTCTCTAAGTATGTGGGTGTGTAATTATTTATTTCCCTATTTCATCTCTCCACTAGACTGTGAGATATTTGAAACAAGGAAACCATTATATAATGTTTTTATCACTTTGATGCTATGATAGTGCCTGATTTTTAGCTTTAAATAAAAGAAAGGATAAAGGAAGAAATGGGATTTAGATGGGATTTGAAGACTGTTAGTCCCCAGAATCTTCACATAGAATCTTCTTCAAATGGCAGGTGTAAGTAATGAGAGAAGTTTCCATTGAGTTCTGTTGTTAGTGCTAAATGGTGTTGTTCAATGTGTTGCTGGCTTGTTAGTGATGCTAATCCCAGGTCATTCTGGTTTGCACATGTTAACCAGGTATTAGCAAAATATATGTATTCTGGGAACCCATATGGTCATATAGCCTAACTGCAAATGGCATTGACTTTTGCAAATGTATTAGGGTGTTTTCTCTGCCACATTCATTTGAGAGAAGGTTGTTTCATGTTTGTGGGACAGCTCTTCTTCAGTCCTAACTATTTCAGTCTTCCAAAGCAAGACACTAATGAGTGCATTAAGAAGTTGTTGCTAAGGGCCAGTGTTGTGGCATAGCAGATTAAGTTTCTGTCTGCAACACCAGCATTCAATATGTACACCAATTCAAGTCTCAGCCACTTCGCTTCTGATCCCACTCTCAGCTATTGGCCTGGGAAAGCAGTGGAGCATGGCCCAACTGTTCGGGCCCCTGCACCTGCGTGGGAGACCTGGAAGAGGCTCCTGGCTCCTGGCTTCAGTCTGGCCCACCCCTGGCCTTTGTGGCCATTTGAGGAGTGAACCAGCAGATGGATGGTCTCTATCTCTCCTTCTCTGTGTAACTCTGCCTTTCAAATAAATAAAATAAATAAATCTCTTTTTTTGTAAAAAAAAAAAAAAAGCAGAAGAAGTTAGTGCCAAAAACTCATAATACTAAAGTTACCGGAACCTCAGGGTAATTGACCAGCTATGTAGTGTCCAAGCTCATGCCTCCAGAGGGCTCCACAGTTGACAAAGGCAAATCCATATCTGAGAGTTGGTATCTGGAAAGCACTAATGGAAAAAGAAGACTTGTAGAATGATTGAAAGAAGGAAATGGGAAATTTTATGCCCTTATGGTGGAACAACCATGACTTGATTGGTGTGGAGGGGGCAGAGAGGTTTTTCAGAGGGAATTCCATTTGCACACAACACAAATCCCCAAAAACTAACTTTGCCCCTGCTTCCCAGGTAGCATTGGCTGTGTCTGCTGTCTCCTGTGGTTCACGGTGATTTATGATGACCCCTCGCATCACCCCTGCATAAGTGCCAGGGAAAAGGAATATATCGTGTCTTCACTGGCTCACCAGGTACAGTGCACTCCTTCTGCCCAGATCTCCAGGACACTGTGGGTCTTCCAGGTGAGGCTCCACTGCACCTGTTCTAATACGCATGCTGATTAAATATTTCCTTTCAGTCCAGTTCTCCTAGACGATCTGTCCCCATAAAGGCTATGGTCAGATGCCTACCACTCTGGGCCATTTTCACTGGGTTTTTCAGCCATTTCTGGTTGTGCACCATAATCATAACATACCTCCCAACGTACATCAGCACTGTTCTCCACGTGAACATCAGAGATGTGAGTATACTTCTTGTACTTCTAGGAAAACACAGACACTGGCAACAAGTGTCGCCTGTTCAATGCTGCCTATTATGTTCCAGCTTTGCATACAACCATCCACTTGGCCTTCACATGGATGCTGTGAGAGGCAGTGCAATGATTCCCATTTAACAGGCATAGAAATGGGACACATATGTGAGACAATTTGCTGAGTTTGCACAACCACTAAGTGGTAGAACTTCTGTGGCCTCTGTGTTCCTAAACATTATGCAACACTATCACGCCAGCTGGTTCTACATTTTCTCTTGGAATTCATATTCCTTTCCCTGGAAACCAGTGAGATGCAGGTGCAGGTCCAGTAGGCCACGCTCTTCTAGTATGGAAGAGGATTCTAGTTTACCCAGAACCACTCAGCATGTTGGGGATGGGCTAATGGCTGACCTGTGTAACTGATAGACTCTGATGCCCTGTGGACCTCCCTAACTATTCTGTCTAAATTTCCTTCCTTCAGAGTGGGGTTTTGTCCTCCCTGCCTTTTATTGCTGCTTCAAGCTGTACAATTTTAGGCGGTCAGTTGGCAGACTTCCTTCTGTCCAGAAGTCTTCTCAGATTAATCACTGTGCGCAAACTCTTTTCATCCCTAGGTAAGGATAGATGGCTGGGTTCGGTTAACAAATCCAATTCCGTGGTCTTGAAAGGGCTCCTGACAGTATGTCCTCGTTGCCTAGGGCTCCTGCTTCCATCGCTATGTGCTGTGGCCCTACCCTTCGTGGCCTCCAGTTATGTGACAACTATTATTTTGCTCATACTGATTCCTGGAACAAGCAACCTGTGTGACTCGGGTTTTATCATCAACACCTTAGATGTTGCTCCCAGGTAAGACTGTTACTTGTTGCTCCCCCTCCAGTTGTGTTTGATCTCAGTTGTCGTCATGTAAATCTTTCATGTGGACATGCACTGGAAGATGGCAGAATGACAAATAACTAGAAATGTCAGTATGTGGCCATGACCTAATGTGGCATTTTTGGAACAACAGTTCCTGATCTTGCCTGGTAATCATTTAGATAAAAAGCTTCTCAAGCTTCCCGATCAGAGATTGTACTGTGTACACTGGAAAAAGGCCCAGAGATAAGTGTTTTTGGACAAGTTTCCAAGAGTCGACCATATTAGCTATTGCATTTGTAGGCCTTTGCCGTGAACCAAAGACTAGTCCTATATCCATACGTGGCATCCACCCAACTATACACCAGACAGGTCCTGGTGCTGTCCCCTCATGCCTGGGGAAGGCTGAGGCACAGAGGTTAAGCAGGAAACCCTTGGTCACACACAGGCAGGGCCAGGATTTGCATCAAAGCGGTTTGGCTTCAGAGTTGCGCAAACACCTCCCATGCTGAGCGCTGGGGTAGAGGAACTCAGCTCCCAGGGAGATGACATTGTTATTGACTCAGGGGACAAGTGATTTCAGAGCTGGCAAACACAGTGCCCTGCAGGTCTCTAGGTGAACAGAAAACCGCATTACCCACAATGCATTTGCCATTAGATCCACCTTGCACTGAAGCTGAGTTGCTGCAGAAGCCATAGGCAGCTCTCTGTATAAACTCATCTCCCCACAGATATGCAAGTTTCCTCATGGGAATCTCCAGGGGATTCGGCCTCATCGCAGGCATCGTCTCTTCCACGGCCACGGGATTCCTCATCAGTCAGGTCGGGCACGTTCTTGAACATCTGCGAAGTGGCGGATATTGCTGTAGGCACTGGAAAAACACACTGCCCTCTCAAGGATTGTGAGGTCTGCTGGGGCAGTCAGCATGATGTCCACACAGTTCTTCTATTTGTGGGAGAATCTAAGTGAGACACTGCTAGGTCAGGTTTCCAAGGGGAAGAGAGATAATAGTCACATTGCTCAAAATGAACAGATGTGCAATTGATGACAATATGCTGTTAGGGCAAGTGTAACGTCCTAGAGATACAAAAGCATGAAAAAGTCTTGGTTATGGCCAGAGTGAATGGGGTATGTCTGGCAAGTAAGAGGCAGAAAAGGAAGATCATAGAAAATTTGTGTATAATATTTCCAATTTTAAAAAACTCACAAAAGGAGATAGAGAGCATCCCAAGGCCAGTCTGAAGAGAGACTAAAACATGGATGAGAAGGCAATGGCTGGGAGACTGTGCAGAGAGTGGGGGCTCTGAGGTTGGCTTCGGTTATGGAGTGTGGGCTGGGAAGAAGCAGTAGAACATGCTGGGATGGGAAGATGGACACAAATCCACTTATACAAAAAAAAAAAAAAGCTTTGTTTTGTTTTCTATGTCATCTCTATGTGATCCAGTTTCCTCGTTTATTTTTTGACCAAATCACTAGGAATGCACTGTGATTCTAATGCTGGAAGTGAACTATGATTTATCAGGGCTTAGTGAGAAGAGTTACCCAGGCAGAACTAACACAACTTTTGTTATGTTGTGGTTTTCATCTTCTTGTGATAGACATCAATAGCCAAAAACAACACAAAAAAGAGAGAACATAAGCATGAGATCTTCCAGCTGCCATTTTGGACATAATTTTAAGTGAATGAAAAGAGAACTACATTTTCATGAAGGTGGAAGTGCAAATTTCCTGAAATACACTGGTGCCATTTCATTTATTTTCATTTAAAGCAATATCCACTCCAATTCAGAACCCAATGTATGTTTTAGAATTGTATTGCTTCCATCAGTTTCCCATACCTTTTCTGATGACGTGCGATGTTAACTGCCCACTGCCTAGTTACTGTTCCCTGTATTCTCTGTGGTCAGGGTTGCAAAGTGGAGGATTTCTGGAAATGAGGAAGGAACTCGGGCCTTGAGTAATCTGTTGCTTGTCTGCAGGATTCTGAGACTGGCTGGAGGAATGTGTTTTTCCTGTCTGCTGCTGTCAACATGTTAGGCCTGGTCTTTTACCTCACATTTGGACAAGCTGAAATCCAGGACTGGGCTAAGGAGCGGACCCTCACCCGCCTCTGAGGATGCAGTTGCCGACTTCAACGTAGAACTGACCATTCCCATTTCACAGTTTTTACTTCTGCCATGTTTTCATGTTCCTGACCAGAGCCAGCAGTCCTCAGCTCTTGCTTGAGTGTTAAATTTTCCAGGGAGCCTCTGAAATACACTGGTGCCTGGGCTCTTGTTTTGAGGTGAAGTTCATGTGCTGCTAATTGTTAGGGTCTTCAAGAATTTCTACACTGCGGGCAAAGTTGGCAACTGCCAGACAAATTGAAAAAGTCAATCCCAATTGCCTTTGCGCTTCCCTGTTTGGAAACTACTAGTTGAATAAACATCTGTGTGAAAATAATCCCTAATAAGTACCTTCATGGGGGCGGTTATGGACACAGAAGATCCGCTGAGATTTATAGCCATATGTTACAGAGCTCAGAACAGAACCGAATTTTAAAGCTGTAATCCACAGAATTAACATCTATTTTTTTTATACATTGTAAAAGCTGGATGTTTATTTATGTGATTAAATCTATTAAAATTCACATGCTAAAATTAAATTTTCAAATTATCTAGATTGGAATTATTTCCATCAGGAGAAATAGATATTTACTTATCCTAGCTAAATGCCAGAAGATTAACGACCAGAAAATTGCCAAGGACAGATTAAATGCATGAAGTGAACTAGAAATCAGGGACAGAGATGGGAGCCTTGGAAAGCTTGTTCAGTGAGGAAAACGGATGCCGGGTGGGGTGGGGAGTGCAGCCACTGCCAGAGGGGACAGTGAGAACATTGCGGCTACAGCAACAATGGAAGGGAGGGGGCAGAGGCCTCAGTGGTGGGGATGACAGAGGACAGAGGTAATGTGACCATTTACATAGAGGGAAATTACTGAAGATATAACCAGATGAACACAGGCATAGAAAGCATCCACAGGAGAGAAGTTCAACATCTCCCCCCAAATAACGGAAAAATACCATCAATCCTAAAAGACCCGTTTGAAAGCAGAAAAAGATGACTGTACCTTTTTTCCATATTACACATTTTCTCAGGATTCAGCACCACTACGGCAGGAACCGGTTTTGGCTCCTGCCACTGAAACACATTTTCTAGGGAGATTTCACACACTGAGATGGATCTTGTTTGCTACGATTTTCCTAAAGAAGTTTCTACATATTTAGAATCCCAGTAGAGCCATGAGGACTGGAAGCTTGGGTCAGTTCCACAGGTGAAGACACTCTCCTGAGGCAAATCAACAGTAGGTGTACTGATAAATACTATATTAGGCCCTGAGGGAGATACTAAGATGAGAACTCACTGGTTCTGCTTTCTGGGCATTTGCAATATGTAGAGATTTTGTAGAAAGCTAAAAGAGAGAGGGGTAGAATAATGGACTAATGGACGGGTAGATTATGCACAGAAGAAAAAAAAAGCAGAAAAGGCAGACAACCCAATAGAAAAATGGGAGAATGCCTTGAACAGACATTTCATAAGGAGAAAGTCTAAGTGTTTTATGGACATATAAAAAAGAATTCATTAGTCATTTGAAAATAAAAACCACGTGAGATACCACCAGACACTTATCAGAACAGAGTTAAATGAAGAAGGTGGAAAACAGCAAACACTGGCAAAGGTGTGGAGCAATGGAACTTTCAGGCACTGTAATTGTGAGTGTAAATTAGAACTCTGCAAAGCTGCTAGGCAGTGTCTCTCAAAGCTAAATGTACAACTTAACGACTCACAGCTTCACTTAGAAAGGCATACATCCATTCACAGAATCACGTACAGCACTGTTCACTGGAGCACTGCCTATAATAGCCCAAACAGGAAACAACTAAATTGCCCTTGAAGGGAAGAATGAGTAACTATATCACGGACTACTGAACAGATCTCGGTAGGCGACTCAGTGGGTGGTTCTCATAGACACAATGAAAGAAGTCAGAGTACCCTCTTCTAAAGATTTGTACAGAATGATTAAAAACAGGTACAACTACTCTACTTTAAAAAGTCAAGGGGCCAGTGCTGTGGCGTAGTGAATAAAGCTGCCCCCTGCATTGCTGGCATCCCATATGGGTGCTGGTTGAGTCCGGGCTGCTCCACTTCCGATCCAGCTCTCTGCTATGGCCTGGGAAAGCAGTAGAAGATGGCCCAAGTCCTTGGGCCCCTGCACCCACGTGGGAGACCTGGAGGAAGCTTCTGGCTCCTGGCTTTGGATTGGCACAGCTCTGGCTGTTGTGGTCATCTGGGAAGTGAACCATCAGATGAAAGACCTCTCTGCCTCTTCTCTATGTAACTCTACCTCTCAAATAAATAAATGAATCTTAAAAAAAAAAAAAAGTCAAGGTAGTAATTTTCCTTGAGCATGAAGGGAAAGTCTTGACCAGATGGGGAGTGCCTAAGAATGGCTCCTGTGGTGTTGATGAGGTTTTTTTCTCATATTGGGTGTTAGTTAAGTACACATGTGTGTGTTTACTTTGTGAAAAGTACACATTGATGATTTGTTCAATTATGTATGTAGACAGTTTGCTAAAATAGCTTTATATTGTTTCATCCATTTCAAAGCTTCTCATTTGGCTTAGATCTCACCAAAGCAGTTGGGACTGGATCTTGGTCCCCTACCTTCCTGTTCTTCCTCTTCCCTCTCCCCGCTCCTTTGCTGCACTCTCTACTACTATCAGAGCAGGACAGAAAGCAGTGGGACAATCTGTGTTTGATTTCAGATCAAACTCAATTCCCATACTGCAAAGGGAGTGAGCTCCAGTTTCCAAAACACCCTGAGAGCATCAGTTGGCTCAGGAGCTAAGAACAACAAAGGCTCAGGCTGTCTAGATTTTCTGAGCGGCTGCTCTGATTCCTGACACACTGCATCTATAGGACAGATTTTTAGCATATTTCTCCTTCTTTAATGGCTTGAGGAAGAAATGTCATTTACATTTCCTAATGGATTCAGAGTAGATGCAATTGTGAACTGGTTGGATGCAGGTCTAATCCACCCCCACCCTCACTCCACCCCCAATATCCAATCCCTAAAGGTAGTTTATCACATTACTGGCCAAGCAAATTATTTCACTTTTCTCAAATAGCTTATTGTCATCTATTTGATGATGAGATTATCCACTTTTTCTCTTTAGCTATTAAATATTATGAGTTATGTTAACATACTCTTTAGTGCTGAGTAATATTCCTTGAGTATTCTTTTATCTATACAGGAGAATTTGATTTTCCTGTCATTTATTTAGGACTTTGGGGCTGTGCTAATGGAGGCACCTGGCTCTACGCATCCACGTGTTCTGTGTGCCTTTATCACGTGTGGATATGAGGCAGCTGCCCATTTCGCAAACAGGGAAAAAAAAAAACTTCTCTTATTCGCCAACACTCTGGAAAAGATGAACATTCTAGAATAGGATTTTTAAAATTACTATTGTCATTTGAAGACTTGAAAACTACAGAGGCTTAACACCACTTTGAGAAGTGTTTGATAATCCTTTTCAATATCCATGACAGCTATTGGTCCATTAAAGGGGTTCTATATTTTCTTTGATCAGTTTGACAATTTATATTACCCTGGAGTATTATCCATTTTATACACAATTTTAAATGTATTTGGGAAATATTCAAAGTTTTATTAAATTATCTTCTTTTAACAAATTCCTTTGATTATATCTGAGGTTTTAGTTCCTTCTGTGCTTCTGACGGAGGGCATGCGCTTCCTTAGACCACTCAGTGTTTGTTTATTTTAAAGATGGTTGTCTTTTTCATTTTCTTGCCTATTAACTTCATCCTTTATCATTTACCCCTTTTGTTCTTTTAAATCTAATTTTGAATATGTAGCTAATTTATTTTCATTTAATTATTAAAGAGGTTATTGCCTAGAGGATTTCTCCTCCAAGTGCACCTTTGGAGGAAGATGGCTTTTTGTGGTTGTGTGCCACCCAAATTCACTGATGAATTTCTCACGTTAATAACCCGTGGAGTGAGAAAACAATTGACTGCTGACTCTCTCCCTAGACACAAGAGGGAACTGCCACATGGAGACCACTAACACCTCACCCATGGACAACCTCTTGGGTTTTGTCAGTGGCCTCTGGAAATTTTGCTTCAGCCTGTTGCACTCAATATATTACTTTTACATTGAACACTTTCCATACAAGAATTATGCCATTTGCATCATATTAGGTACCATCCTTGCTGCTGTTATTTTATTTGGATGTAATTCAAGGTCTGGAATGAGGATGAGGCAAATAAAGTACTCAGGGAGCTGTATTTAGGAAGCAGTCTTCCTTTAGCTCTTGCTGATACGGAACTGGCATGTGGGTGTGGTGCCTCTTGCCTCCTACAGCTAAGTCCTGATGCCTGAGAATTTTTTGTTCCCTTGACCATCCCTCACCTTTCTTCTTCTCAAAACATTTCAATGGAGGTCAGTTCTTTCAGTTGTTGTGTTTTTTTTTTTTTAACAATACTTGCATAATCCTCTGAGTCCCAAAATGGTTGAGAATTTCTTTCCTGTTATGCTATATTATCATTATGGAGTTTTAATACATTAAAATATTGACTTAGCCAGAAACAGAATTATTGTTTCACAATTTTTCTTCATCAAAACACTATTGACTTCCTGCCGTTCTCCTCTAGTGTCTAATATGGTGAAGACGTCTGATGAGCCAGCTAATTTTGGTAGGAGGAGAACATTCTGGCTAGCTGCTGAAGGATGCTTTTCCCTGGAATTCCATTTATTGTCACCAAGATCCTCCAAGGAGCTGAGCGCTTGCAGCTGACATTGCCTTGAGTATGATGAGTAAGTTTCGTTTCAGCTAGTAGTCTTACTTAGGGTTCCCTTCAATCTGGTTTTAGTTAGTGACTCCTCAGTGTGCTGTGTTTTCTTCACTAGGAACCTCTCATCTGGGCATCTGTATAGAAGGACCTTATTTATCGTCCATCTCCTGCCTTCTGCTGACTCTCATCCTCGGACTTGTTTCTTTGCTTTCTTCATGAACTTCTCAGTAGCAGAGGCACACAAACACTTTTGAAGGTCTTCCTCAACTTCCCTAGGTTCCAACTTATTTCCTGAAATTGCTTAAGAATGTGCCCATGTCCACAATATCCCTGTGGCCACGTTCAGAAAGAAAAGCATCCATGTCTTACTTTAGCACAGCTTCTGAAGAGTAACCACCTTCTTATTGTCAACAAGGGGATGATTCCAAGTATTGGTTTTGGGATAACCTGTTAACAACTAATACTTTCACCTCAGCTCCAGATTTGCCTGCCTTTCCTTGTCTGCTGCATTGTTTTTAATATAGGAGAAGATTGGCCAGAGTGAGAATGTTCTAAAATCAGGACAACCGAAACAGCATAATTTAAGGAACTGGTTCTATAAAAAGCACTATTAGTTTGAGACACACACACACATAGAGAGAGAGAGAGAGAGGGAGAGAGAGAGAGAGAGACATATACAGGCTAGCATCTACTGCTTTATTCCCTACATGTTTGCAATGGCTGGTTGTGGGTCATGGCCAAAGCCAGGAGCCAGGAACTCAATCCAGGTCTCCCACATGGATAGCAATAACACAATCACTTGAGCCATCATGGCTGCCTTCAGGGTCTGCATTAGCAGGAAGCTGGAGTCAGGAGTCAGAGCTGCAAACAAAACCTAGGTATTTCAGTGTGTGGTAGGAGCATCTTAATAGAATTTCAATCACCAGGTTCAATAACTACCCTGGGAATTGGTTTTTCAGATGAAGCCATAATATTTTCCCAGAGCACCAAGTGTAAGACTATATTTGATAAAATCCTCAGATGAAAACTTACATGATTAATTCTAGATTTAGGATGACTTATACAACAAAGTTAAAATCTTCATTAAAATCAAATCATAGCATGAAATGCTTTTTTAAAAATTGGCATTTAAACTTTATTTTTATATGTCTGCATGTATTTGAAAGGCAGAGAGAGAGAGGGTGTGTGTGTGTGTATGTGTGTGTGAGAGAGAGAGAGAGAGAGAGAGCTCCCATCCCCTGGTTCACTCCCCAAACGTCCACAAAATTCATAGCCAGGTACTGAATCTGGGTCTTCCATGTGGGTGACAGGGAACCAACTAATGAGCCATAACCTACTGCCCCTTGGAGTCTGCATTAACAAGAAGCTGGAGCCAGGAGTGGAGGCAGGACTTGAATCCAGGCACTGTGATATAGGATGTGGGCATCTTAGCCACTAAGCCAAACCCCTGCCCCATGAAATATCCATTCTAATTTTAGTCATCTCTCATCATATTTCATCTTAAAAAAGTGAATGCTTCCTTTTCTTTGTATTTATTTATATTTTTGATAAAAAGTTTTAGATATCAAGTTATATATGCTCAAAAGGGCACCTAAAGTTTTCTAAGTTATTTTACATAGCACACCTTCAAAAGACTTTGAAGACCATTTCTGTATACAAATGTTTATTTCTAAGCAGTATGCATTCTGATATTTGCTATTTCTGGTCTTCTTTAAATGTTTTCCAAGCATGGTTTGTTAATTAAAATCATTCTTTTATGCTGCCAGTTCTTCTGTCCTCTTAGCCATGGTCACCTTTTGACTTTTTAATAACCTGCTTCCTGAAGCATAGGTTTGTTTCATATCAAAGCTGTAGGAATGTTAGGAATTTATTCTTACTTCCTTCAGGAAAATGCCTAAAGACTATATTAATCATGGGGTTGACGCTGTGGCACAATAGGTTAATCCTCCACCTTCAGCACCGGCATTCCATATGGGCAATGGTTCGAGTCCCGGCTGCTCCACTTCTGCTCCTGTTCTCAGCTATGGCCTGGAAAAACAGTAGAAGATGGCCCAAGTGCTTGGGCTCCTGCAACCACAGTGGGAGACCCAGAAGAGGCTCCTGGCTCTTGGCTTCGGATTGACCCAGCTCCGGCCGTTGCAGCCAATTGGGGAGTGAACCAATGGATACAAGACCTCTCTGTCTCTCCCTCTCACTGTCTGTAACTCTACTTGCCAAATAAATAATAAATAAAAACTTGTAAAAAAAAAAGCCTATATCAATTATAGTCCATGACACTGATTTTTTTTTTTTAAGTTTTCATCAGTGAGGACTTTTATATTGTAGTTGTAGAAACCCATTCAGGATTGGGTAAGCCATAAATAGATTCAATTCAAGAAATTGAGGTAGGGGCTACTTTGAGGAGCAAAAGCAGACTTGAAAGGTGATAGCTGCAGTGGCTTTCTCCATTGCTAGAATACATAGATTAGAACCTGCAATCTCTTGTCCTTTTAATTAGTACTTATGGTAGAGAATTCCATTGGTGAAATTTTCATAAAGTGTTCACTCTTTCTTGAACAGAGCCCAGGAAGCTGACGGGCAGGGAGTCAATGGACCCTTTCAGCGTCCAGAGGGTCAGACCACCGCAATCCACTATCAACAGTGTCACCAACAACAAAGTGTCATTCCCCAAAATAAAGTTGAAATTCTGGTAAGAACTGGTAATATATCTTAGAAATAAGTTTCTATAAATTTAACTTTTCCTTTTTCACTTTTGTGGAATAAGACCAGTTCTGCCTAAGCTATGTTTCGTGCCAAACTAAGGTGAGATAGTTCTTTTTAGAACTCCTCTTTTTGCTCAGAATGCCGCTACAATTATTTTTTTTTTCCAGATTTATTTTATTTATTTGAAAGAGTTACAGGGAAAGTAGAGACAGAGAGACATCTTCCATCTGCTGGCTCCGCCCCCAGATGATATCAAAGCCATGAGCCAGGAGCTTCACTTGGGTCTCCCACGTGGGTGCAGGTGCCCAATCGCTTGGGCCATCCTCTGCTGCCTTCCCAGGCACATCAGCAGGGAACTGGACTGGAAGTGGAGCAGCTGGGACTCGAACCCTGGTCCGTGGGATGCCGCCGCTGCTGGTCAGAGCTTTAACCCACTGCGCCATAGTGCCTACCCGCGCCGCTACAATTCTTAAGACTTGAACTGTAAGCAGATGCTGTTGGTTTATTAATCTATTTATTTAAATAATTTCAGTATACAGACAGAAGGAGCCGAGTCCACAGGCATCCTGCAGGGGGCGCAAAGGCGCTCCTCAGATCGTTTGGAAACTACTTGGAAAATGTTCACTTCTAGCTGCTTTTCTGAAACCTGGGAGGCCCTGCGGCTTCTGATCATTGACTCTTCAGTTGGAGGAAGTGCTTCCTAGCCTTACAGGTGAATCAGCCCCAACAGTCCAACATTGCACATCCCCCGGGGGACTATCAGAGAAACGGCCAGGGACATAAGAGGAAGGTACAGCGAGGTAGAGGGGCTGAGCCCTGGGGAGACAGTGGACAGCTTCCTTCCTAATAGCTTTTTTTTTTTTTTTTTTTTTTTTTTTTTTGACAGGCAGAGTGGACAGTGAGAGAGAGAGACAGAGAGAAAGGTCTTCCTTTTGCCGTTGGTTCACCCTCCAATGGCCGCCACGGCTGGCGCATCGCGCTGATCCAAAGCCAGGAGCCAGGTGCTTCTCCTGGCCTCCCATGCGGGTGCAGGGCCCAAGTACTTGGGCCATCCTCCACTGCACTCCCAGGCCATAGCAGAGAGCTGGCCTGGAAGAGGAGCAACCGGGACAGAATCCGGCGCCCCGACCGGGACTAGAACCCGGTGTGCCAGCGCCGCAAGGCGGAGGATTAGCCTATTGAGCCGGGGCGCCGGCATTCCTAACAGCTTTATAAGCACAAGGGGGCTGGCGCCAAGAGCTCTAATTCTTGCTCTGGCTCTGAAGGAGTGACTGTCTCGAGTCATTTGGAGACAGCGGCATACATACCTGCTGGCACACAGAGGTTGGATGTGGATGAGCCTCATGTGTGCATACATATGGAGGAACTACAATGTGTCCAACAGGCTCAGAATGGTGGCCTAGAACATGATCTACAACTAAGAGACAAGGGAGGAACTCTTTGCTCCTGTGCAGACATCGTCATTATCCACAAATTTATTCAAAGTTAGTCATTATTGGGTTTCACATTGAGTTCTTGTCATCAGACCTGCATGGCTCCAGGTGTGCACAGGAGACTGTGAGATCAGCTCGCTTATCTTGCAGGCTGTCCCCGTCTCTGCTGGAGTCAGTTAGACGTGGCTGACCTGCTTATCTACAGCCCTAACCAAACACAGCAGCAGCCTGTGGATGGGGCGAGAGCTCAGAAGGCAGCACCTGGCTCAACAGCCAAGTGGACATGCTGGACCTGGACCTGGACCTGGTGCCTGGGAGGTAGCCCTCTCCTCACCCCACACATCCTGCAGAGCTGGGTGGGCTCTGCCGTCTGCTTCACCACTAAAAACCCTCTGCACTGGCTGTGGGCTCTTCCCCGCCTCCATCTGCCTTGTTTTCTGTTGTGTGATTTGGCGCCGACTCTGTCTGCCAACTCAGCGATTCCAGGGTCATTGCCTTGTTGCCCCATGGAAAGGATGTCACAGCATCTGCCATCCGCCCTCCCTCTTAACTCTGGGCTTTCAGCATCGCTGTGTTCTCTCTCGGGTCCCACGGCTCTCTCTTCTTCCCATGTCTTGTTGGCTTCCCACTCTCTCCTCTTTCCCCACACTGCTTCCTCCTTGCTACCTTCATGCTCAAAGTTTAGAAACATCTGCAAACTCTCATTGTTTGTAGGCACCAAACCCTGTCTCCTGCATAGTCACCATATACTATCTCTAATTCCCAGACCAGCAGAGCCCTGCATTTACATTTCCACTGTACGCGATTTCCCACCTGCAAACCTCCCACTCAAACACTCCATCTCCCGGGAAGTCTCACAACATGTCCCCAGGTAGCATCACTCACCCAGCAGAGTCCTTGTCGCATCTTATTTTAATTATAGTTCTGCACATGTATTTCTATCTGAATATAACCTCCAAGAAGGTGGTAACCATCTTTTCTTTTAGTTCAGTTCATAACAAATAGCCTGACATGAAATGGGTGTGTAATACCAATATCATTTCTTAATAAGAGAACAAATCCACTTTTATTTGTTTTTTAATAGTTTAAATCCTTGAGGGGTACAGCATCACACAGATTCTGTGTCCAGAGGCCTTCACAGAAAGATTGCTTCGGAGTTTGGCATGAACCATGCTTCTGTTGACATAAGCATGAGTTACCTTTTCCCAGATTTCTCTGGTTTTGTTGTTTGCCTCTAGGAGTCACTGCGTTGTTCTTTGCTTTGTACACATGAGCATATCTCTTGCCCAAACAGAATTCAGTTTTATCTCAAGCATAAACATCTTTCATTTTAACAGGTACTGAGTGCTTCCATTGGTTCCAGAGACCCCGCTGATGACCAGCAAGGATGGTCCCACACCACAGTCTTCCAGACATAGCCGCCTTCTAGAAGTCCTGTTCCCTTCCTGCAGGCCTCCAAGCTCTGAGAGGGCAGAAAAGATGTGATAAGGATACTTTGAATGGGAATAACTGAATGAGTATTTCAAGATTCCCTGAAGCTCCCAAAATGTTATAATACAAAAGAAAAATGAATCTAAAACACTTGCCTCAAATTTTGTCTACACCATGGTTTCAAATCAAAATTTTTCAAAGGTAGAGTAAGAAAACCAACATGAGAAATCCATTTGGTTGAAAATTCTTAGTGTATTAGGGTGATAAATACTGGGCAGTTTTTCCTGTTTCCCAAAATGTGTTTTAAATAACAATAAAATAATCAGTACATGCACATGAGTTTTTTATAAACTATTTTACTATTTAAGATTTTTGATTAATATGCAACACTTATCTACATCTATGGGTATAGTGCAATACTTCAACACATTTACATAGCATAAACTGATCAAGAAAGGCAACCAGCCTTCCCATCTCCTTATCTTCTTGTGTTTGTAGTCCTCCAGCTCATCACGCAGTATAGAATATAATGTAGTGAACTGTAGTCACCTCTCTGTGCCATGGTGCAGTGGAACTGGTTCTATCCCACTGGGTTTGTTCCCATTTTCTGGCCTCCCCCTATCTTCCCTCCCCCACCCTTCTCTGCCTGCAGTATCACTATTCTAAGTTCAACTGTTTTTTAACTTCTATATATGTCTTCCTGTGTGTGGCTTATTTCACTTAACATAATGATATCCAGTTCTATCCATTTAGCTGTAAATGTCAGGATTTCATTCTGTTTAATGGCTGGATACTACTTCATTATGCATGTGTATCACATTTTCTTCATTCTGTTGATGAAGACCTAGGTTGATTCTGAATCTTGGTTATTGTGGATACTGCTGCAATTAACAGGAGAAGGCAAGTATCTCTTTCATATTCTGATTTCAGTTTCTTCAGGACTGAAATACACTCTGAAGTGGAATCACTGGGGCAAATGGTAGACCTATTTTTAATTTGTTGAGGAACTTCCATACTGTTTTTCATAAAGGCAATGGACTTCTTAACAATATTAAGTCTGCCAATCCATGATCATCTCTCCATTTGTTTAGATCTCTCTGGACTTCTTTCTTCTGTGTTTAACAGCTCTCCACTTAGGCGTTTCACATGCATTTTTAAAAGAATTATTCCTAAGGACTTCATATTTTTGTAACTGTCTTGATTTTATTTTTAAAATTCCAAAGTCAAACCCATTCTTGGAATATAGAAATACAGTTTACTGTGAGTGACAGAGGGAGAGATAGAAATAAAGAGATCGTGTATCTGCTGGTTCACTACTCAAATGCTGGGGCCAGGCCAGACCATAGCCAGGAGCCGGGAACACCATCTAGGTTGTCTCACATGAGTGGCAGGGACACAAATACTTGAGCCGCCATTGCTGCTTCTCCAGGCACTTTAGATGGAAGCTGGATCAGAGGCAGAGGAGCCAGGACTCAATCTGGCACTCTGATATGGAATGCAGGCATCCCAAGTGGTAGCTCAACCCACTTTACCGCAGTGTCCACCCTACAGTTTGCTCTCTGCGTTGACCTGGTAGCCTATAACTGCTACATACACTCATTCCAGCAGGGTTATTTCTGGTAGATTTTTTTTCTTCTTTTGTTCAGATTTTCTTCGTAGACAACCATATTATGTAGGAATTAGGAAATTAGGAAAGTTTATGTCTTTCTTTACAATCTGTGTACATTTTATTTCTTTTACTTGCTTTATAAGATTGTCTTCCAGTATGACATTGAGTAGGAGTATTCCAAGAAGACATTGTCTTGTCTTCTTGTTCTTACTTTATTTTAGCCCTTAGGAGAAAAGCATTTAGTATCTATAATGGACTAACTTGCCCTACCCCCAATTCATATGTGAAAACCCTAACCCCCAGTAGAAATGTATTTTCATATATTCAGAGGGAGGGCATTTAGGAGGTAATACTATTAAGGTCAAATGAGGTCATAGAATGGCTCCCTGATTTCACAGGTCTGATGTCTTATAAGAAGAGGAAGAGATACTAGAGCTCTCTTCCCGCCAAGGATGGACACCAACGAGAAGGAGAACTTCTGCAAACCACAAAGAAAGCCCTTACAGGAAGCCAAATTGGCCAGGACCTTGAACATCAAGCCTCCGGAACTGTGAAAAAATACATTTCTGCTGTTTAAGCCACTAAGTGTTTGGTATTTTCCATGGCAGCCCAAAAAGACCAAATACAGTTTCCAGCTGTTGTGTGTGATATTACTTGTTAGCAACATAATATTCCTATAATACCCTTTAACATCAGTATTATGTCATTTAACCTCCAAAAGTACAAACAAAATACATATTATTATTCCAAGTTTGGGATGGGGAAAATAGATTCTGTGGAGCAACTCAGTCACCTGTAGTCACAGAAGAATGTTGCAGTGCTAGGCTATGAAGTCATTTCATTTCTGCTCTGTTAATGTTCTTTCATTCAGACTCTGAGAATCAGAAAGAACTTCCTTTGTCTTTGTTAAACTACATGTTTCTACAGCCATTGTTTCCAAAACATTTATTAGCCCTGTGAGATAGTGTAATCAACTTGACTAGTATAGTAATTTTAGAATATACCATGGACTTTTAAGGGTGTGGCTTCTTAAAGTTAAGGCTTACATGGACATACAAATTGCTGAAAGAAAATTGAACAATGAGAAAATTTGCTATATCCTGCTGTAGCCTCTTTTCCTAGCCCAAGCAAATCTGTATTTGAAACAAATGTAATATGTGTGTGTTTAACAATGTTTATTAATTATGCAGTGCTTATTTTTAATATTTAAGCTACTTAACATATCCATCACCCCTGCTTAGTTACCATTTGTATGTGTGTGTGTTTGTGTGTGTGTGTGTGAAATGAGAATGAAATGACATTTAATTCATGGTAATTTTGTTGATGCTGACATCCAGACACACTGTATAAACGCTAAATATGAAAGTAAATAGGCCTCAACTGTGAGGACTTATGTTGATCCACCCAGGAGTCTATGTTTGAGATTTGCTGTATCTCAAATATAAAAACACCAGATGCTTCGAATTCTTGCGTTGACCTCGTTTTCGTCTCCTCCTTTGGTTTGGTGTCTTTCATTTGTGCTGTTCCTAAAAGATATTTTGTCTGTTGCAGCTCTCCTAGATATAACCTATAGCTATTACCAGAGTGCTAGTGATAGGTTAGTGGCAGTAGAGTGTGGAGGAGAGAGGCATCCTCTATTCTTCTGATTAGGCTTCAGCCCTTGCACTGCACAGTGAGCTTCTGTCTCAGGAGCCTTAGCTTTGTAAGTGTGTGCAATCCTCTCCCAGGGAGAACCTTGACCCTGTGCCTGCTGCTTCCTTCCCACAATGCACTGAGTGCCTCGCAGGGTTCTCAGTCTGCGTCCTTCAGACCCTCTCCGACGTAGATTAAGGTTTTCTGCCCTTAGGTAAAATAGGAATGCTGAATAGAGGCAGATTTCCTTTCATTTCATGTCTAACTTCAACTCACAATCCACTGGCTACCCCTAAGGGCAGAGGTAGGGATTGGTGATACACTCTTGTGTGCTGAGGAAAAGAGAACTGCACTGGGGAATCGCTAAAAATATTTCATACATTCATGAATGAGACACGGTATCTGCAAATAACTTCACACCAATTCCTTCCCAGGAAAAAGGAATTTATAGGCATTATACAATTGTCCAGGTTGGAACCATCCTTCCTGATTATCAAACACAGAGTTACCTTTATATACAATGGCTGGGGAGACATACTTTTCAGCACCAAAGGAATTCTCGGGGAGTTTTTACTACTCTTACGTCCAAATGGGAAAGCTAATGAAAAAATGCAGTGCCCTCATACAAGCTGGACCATTAATTCCCAAGATGGTTCAGGGCTTTGCTTCACCCAGTCAAGACATGTGGCCAGCTGAGGTGCTGAGAGCTGGCAAAGGGACGGCAGATCAGGAGTAGTAAAGGATGCTATAGATACTATGTCATGGAAACATTTGCAAAAGAAGCTATAAAATCTATACATGTTTTCATACTTGTAAATTTGTGACTGTGTCTACTTCTTTCTTTTTTACTATCTAAAATGTACTTGAGGCCGGTGCTGTGGCATAGTAGGATAAGCTTCTGCCTGCAGCACAGGCATCCCATAAGGGCATCAGTTTGTGTCCCCGCTGCTCCACTTCCAATCCAGCTCCCTGCTAATGCACCTGGGAAAGCAGTGGAAGTGGCCCAAAAACTTGGGCCCCTGCACCCACATGGGAGACCCAGAAGAAGCTCCTGGCTCCTGGCTTCAGATTGGCCCAGCTCTGGTCATTGCTGCCATTTGGGGAGTGAACCAGTGGATGGATGACCTTTCTCTCTCTCTCTCTCTCTCTCTCTCTCTCTCTCTCTCATCTCTATCTCTCTATCTCTCTAACTCTGCCTCTCAAATAAATAAATAATCCTTAAAATTAAACAAAAATAAAATGTATTTATGGTTGTCAACACTAGAAATCAATGTTTAATTTACAGAATCTGACTTAGCTATAAAGAACCTCACATAGAGAAGAATACAGTAAATTATAAATGTTTGTATTTTACTTAGGAGATATCAACAATAAATAAATAAAATCATATAATTTGCCAGAGACTGATAAATGCTATAGGAAAAAAATAAAGAAGGGAAAGAGTAAGAGTGAGATTAGGTGTGGCAGGAGTTCTCACCTTAACTCTGATGCTGACACTGTCAATATTCTGTCCAGCAATCCCCAGTCCTCGCCATGGCCGGACCCCTGAGGGAGGATGGTCACACCGTTAGCTTCACAGGATGCTTCATAGGATGGATTCTGATTGGGCCACACCAGTGTGCAATGTCTTCCTCTGTAGCTGATTGGCTCTGTCAGCACCTAGTGTTGCAGGAGCCTGAGGTTGTCAAGATTCTTTTTCTCTGTGGGTTGGTATCTCACATCCACAAAGAGTGAGGAGGGCAGACAACAAAGAGTATGTAAAGCAGAAGTGATTTATTGAAAGAAAGCAAAAGTGCAAGACAAAAACTCCTAACAGTGCTGAGCGGGATCCCAGAGAAGTTTGCCATTGTGGGCTGATTGGGGGTTTTTATAGGGACCGGTCTCATGATTGGTGTGGGAGATTGTTGGTTTTGATTGGTTAATGGGTGCAAGTTAACAGAAAACACATGCAACTTTCCCCCAAGGTGCATATAATTCTCATTACCTAGGCCAGATCCAATAGCACAGAGAAACCTTGATAACAAGGACATGGCAACAGCATCTTCCACTTGACTTCTCCCGGGCCCTCGGAGGCTCA